AATCAGCACTCAAGCAGAATCCTTGGGGACATCCTCTAGTAAATTTTTTGCTGGTTATCATGTTGTTATGAATGAATATGCTTTCTCTATTATTAAAGTAATGAATGAGAATATTGAGAAGATTAGAGGGACAGTTGGCTTTATTAAGTGCATGTAATACTGAAAGCCACCATATTGAGTCGAAGGCACTTTTTAAATCAACACAAATAAGTAGTTGCATATTTTATTAGGACACATAATCGAACTCAAAGAAACTATACTGCTACAGAAAGGGAAACGTTAGCAGTTGTTCTGGCGGTTCAGAAATTTCGAGTTTATTTTGGGAAAGCACCCATTAATGTTTATACAGATTATGCGGATGTGGTTCATTTTATTTATTATAAATTATCACCAGGACTCATAAGATGGGAAGATAAGATTCGCCCTTCAGTTACAAGAGTACAACTAAATAATCAAAGATACTCCCAGGAAAGAAAACATCGTTGTGGTTACTCTATCTAGAATTAAATTAGATGACTAAAAGATTTATTAACTAAGGGAATAATGTTAACTTGTTAGGGGTTCTTGCGAAAAAAATTACTACAAAGCTGCAAATAAAGCAGGGATTTAAAAAAATGTATACGCATTTAAAAGATTCTGATTATTCTGAACACTAGGATATGACAGCTATTAGAAACAGAGTTGCAAATTATGAGATTATTGATAATCTTTTATTTTACTCCAAAGTAATGAATAATATTGAATTAAGACTGGCTATCTCATCAAGTTTAAGATTAAGTATTTTTCAGAAATTGCGTGATGCATCAATTTCAAGCCCTCTCGGGATGAGAAAAACAATGAAGCTGTATATTTTCCACAGATACAAAAATTTGTATATTTTCCACAGCTACATCAATTTCAATCCATCTCGGGATGAGAAAAACAATGAAGTTGTATATTTTCCAAGCTACAAAAATTTGTAACGTAATATGTTAAGTCCAACAATATTTGTCAGTTAGTTAATAATATTAATTATATCCCGGGATGTTATTTGAGTAGCACAGAAGTCACTTTCCCTAATGAATTAATAGGAACCAAGTAGTCCTACGCAAGTAGTCAAAAAATATAAATATATATTTCTCATAATAATTTTTCAAAGTGGGTAGAAATAGTTTCCTTTAAATGACCTTCCGCGAAAATTGTTGCAGATTCTTTCTTAAATAATTTAATTTTAAAATATGGAAGCTCCATTTAAAGTAATTTCCGATAATGGAAAGCAATTCGTTTGTCAAATTTTCGAGGATCTATGTTCAGGACCTGACACAGAGCATTTTAAGGTGGTTCCTTATCATCTGTAATCTAATACTGCAGAACGGCTAAATAGAAACACAGACAAAGACACACCAGACGATAGATCTCCGACCCAGATCCATATTCTAGAGGACCCATACAGAGTTTAGATACCTATAGTCCGTGGGACCTCATCATCGCGGGCGAAACCCCCGCAGTCCCCGCCCGGCTTTTACAAAGCATTGGGCAGTACATGATCGTTGCAAAAGAATTACGGCACCACTCCATTGGCAAAAATTACATTGTAAAACGTGGGTGCACTCTGGCCACTATTGTCAGTCCCCACCACGAGAACTGAATGGGGTCAAATCCCTGCGGAACTCGGTCGTCGATAATATGCACTATATAGCTCCACCACAGCCGAAGGAACAGACACGATAGATAGTACGGTCCCTGCCAAGCCTGAACCAACCTGAGTACAATACTCGAATTCTAGTCCTGTGAAGACAAACTGCCTAGGTACTGCTAGGTACTGCTAGGTTGAGACTGCCTAGGTACAGATCCTAACCAGTACTTTCCAGGCGTTCGCCTGAGTCAACCCCCGGGGGGGGAAGTAGAAACACAATTAAAATCATTCGCAGCTATATAAAAATTATCATCAACGCTCAGATAGCAGCTTCAATGAATTTACATTTGCCTTGAGAATGGCTAAAAAACGATACTACCGGAAAGATTCCTGCTGAATTTTTCCTTAGCGGAAAGATACAGAACGTTTCGTTCAAAAGAGGTCTACGGAATTTAAGATGGCAAATATCCAGAAAATTTTGGATGAAGCAATCGAAAATTCGGATATTGCTAGAGGAAAGCAGAAATTTTATGATAAGAAGAAAAGCCAGCATGTTTATTTTAAAGTAGGAGATAAAGTTCTAAAAATTGTACTTTCTCTTTCATGAATTTCAGAAGGTAAAGTGGGAAAATTTTGTTTAAATTCGAAGGCCCATTTGTGATTAAGCGAATAAGAGAAAATGTAGTTTTTATTTAAAGTTACGAGATGGTAGAACTTAAACAGCCAACACAGACCACATAAAGCGCTATTATGAGGGCAAAGATATGCCTTTGCTAACAGATGTTTTATAAGAATCACATAATATGGCGACGAAGGGCCAGATGCAAAGACGGCGGAGTTTCTATCACCATCCCGATAATGTAATGACCGCAAAGAAAAAGAAAGAAGGCTGGAAATAGTCGTAAACACCCGGAAAAGAGTGAAGTTTAACGAGTCAAAATGAAGCATGTTCATCGATAAAAGGGAACCCACACAACTAAAAAGAAAATTTTCCAGATAGAAAAAAAAAAGAAAATACAAGGACATACATCAAACTAACTAATCAACAACGAATGGAAAATTAACGCAAGAAGAAAACTAAACTTTATGGAAACTTAGACTATACTTCTATTGGCTTTTTGTATTATTTTATATGGGGATTCTCTTGAAAAGATTTTGCTAGTTATTCGTGCATTTATGGGGATTACCCGTAGACCAGATCAACTTTACAGTATTTTGATCTGTACGGGGCATTTATAACAGAGAACCTATTGTATTCCTTTTATTTTTAATTTTTCCTCGAAATATTAAAAAGTGGTACATATATTTAGACGTAAATAATTATAAACGTCTTTATTTCACACTACAACACTTTCATCTAGGACACCTGATGGCTTTTTGATTTTAATAGCTTGCAATCTCGTGAAAAAATTATTAGAAACTAACTTCATCCCTGGTTGCAGATGCCCATTGGTCAGTGTGGTTCTTTTCTTATTAATTTCCAATTGCAGAAAACATTGTTCACATCTGAATCTACTCCCAGAAGAAGAGAAAATTCTTTTAAAAAAAACTCTTAATTGAGGGTATTTTTCTTTTGACAAGTAAGAATAAAAGCTTATAAAGTATTTTCTCCTTCCTTACAGCATGCATTCGCGATGTAACGGTAGCACATCCGGCGCGTATTCGAGAGGTCTACAGTTCAAGTCCCGGCGAAGGCACTGCACATTTTGCAGCTCTTCTGCTTCAAAATAACCTAATTTATTTACAGTGAACCCCTAAATAATAAAAAGGTGGTGGACGATAATTCGTCATTACCAGGATCTGGCGACTGGATCCCTTATACCCTAGACTCCCTCTTTAAAAGGGGAAGTATATAAGTCATTTTCTCCATCCTTCCTGCATGCCTTCGTGGTGTAACGGCAGCACACTCAGCGCGTATTTGAGAGGTCCATGTTCGAGTCCCGACGAGGGCATTGCTCATTTCATTCTCTCATGTTTCCTGCTTCAAACATCCGAATGACACTCTAAATAAATCTGTACCTTAAAATATTTGAATAAATTTTACATCGCAGTTTAAATTAATTATCTTCTTTCGTAGATATTTTGGGGCATTACTCACATTCGTTTTTAATAGTAATGATAGTAAATGACTCTTAAATCATTAAAACCTGAAATGGTTTCTTTAAATTCTTATCACAATAATGCTAATTAAATTACGGGCTGCCAGTATGAGACAAACGGCTTAAATGAATATGGTAAAAAGCATAAAGTTCTTTACTCAGCGTCATTCAATTTATCGCATAGGCTTACTTTGGAATATCAAATACCTTTCTTCGAATTTTTTATAATATTTCTATGCTGGTAATACCCTGTTGAAAGCTCAATTATGTACGCACGTTTTCACTGCATAAATGATTAAACTTTGATTAAAGATTTTGGAAATTAAAAGGTAAATGTTCTAAGTTTAGAAACATGTCTGAAAATGTCTAAAAAGATTACAAACATTCTGTAGAATTCGAAAGTTGAATATTTTAATAACTAATGAGTGTGTATTAAATTACCAAACAAACCTTTCGACTTAAAGGTTTTACTTTGTTTTGTTTTTGTTTAAGGTGAAATAGTTTTTTTCCATATTTTAAAATAATACTAACATAAAATAAGCTAAAAATATATAATTTTTGCTTTTAATTCACTTATTTGTTTTTACTTGATATTCGCTACATACTTTTGTAACTATATTGTAATTTTATTAAGTATTTATAAACCCCTATAACCATACTTCTATATCAGCGTCTTTTTAGCTGATTCGAAATGTTCTGAATAGGGTAAATAAATAACTCAAATAGATAATAGTAACCTTATTTATCGGTTTTTCAAAAAAGAACCTGTCAGCAGTAAAAAAAGAATATTTGGAATCATGGATGGTCGTATTATAGCGGCTTCATTGTATAATTTTGCCTTAATAATTGCTAACAATTAAGAATAATTTGAGCAAAAATAGAAAAAAAAACAGAAGTATAATATACCATCTTCAATGCTATAAATGATGTTTTCAATACAGCGATTCCTCTCATGGCAACGACTTGTCTAAGGCCATAACATTTGTAAGTGTCAGTATTTCTGAGAATATAAATAAACTTGAGAGCTAAACAGCACTTCCCTAAATTATTATACCGAAAATAAAATTATACGTAAACATACGAGTTCCATTGTCGAACCGTCCAGAGCCATCTTAAAGAAAAGGTTATCTCTTAGAGAGAAAGTTATCGTAAAAATGTAAATTGACACAAAATATGTGCTGCGTTTTAAAAACTGTGAATATAAAAAGGGAAAAGTTTTTCGATATTCAGACAGTTTAGATTTGTAAAATTTTTAGCTTTTTTAAATATTACACTAATTATCTTACCAACTGCTCCTCTTCTATGATCATCTTAGGTTCCTCTCCTTTCTTTCTCATCCTGACCAACTCCTCTCTCTCCCAGCGCAGAGTCTGTTTCGTTGAAACTCGCTCACGTGGCCAGAAAACTGCAAATCAAAGCTAATCAGTAAAAAAATTAATTAATTAAGGGTCAGTGTCATTAATTTACTCATGCATGCAATTCATTCCTTCACATTTCTTATTCATTTATATTAAGTCGTCATTTTAATTCCCTGCCGAAATTCTAAAAGCGATCAGAAGAAATGTTGAGAAAGCGATCAAAAGCTCAAGATTATATTTGTCATTACTTACATAAATATCTTAATTTTTTCACAATTTTTTTAAAGTTCTTTTATTAATATACTTCAATTTTTTAATTAAAAATCACACCCGTAGCTCTCATACAGCAGAATGATCCGGCCGAGACATAAGCATAGACATTACCTCAACATAGTCATTTCAACATAACCTTTTTTTAGCAGTAAAGAAGACATTTGAACAGTTATTTTAAGCTACATTTTTCATTCGTGTACATAAAGCAATTATCTCGTCTCCACCAGTCACTTAGATGTGCAGGAAACTTTTTATTTCAGTCTTACGTAGGTATTAACTTTCCAATTAAAAGACTTTGCATTTGTAACTTTAAAACATATCATTCAAAAGTAAAACGATAGGGTAATTAGGTTACTGGCTATCTGTGCTGCATTAGTTTTAATTAATTATCCCAGGGAGAACGTTAAGAGGCACTTAAAGTGCTGCAGACTGAATCAAAAGAAAACCTTGCTTACCTACTGAAAACTGAAAGCTACTAAAAAGGAAGTAGACTACTTAAATGAATTTATTAATGTTATCAATTAGGCTGTTATTAATTTACTTAGAGGTCTGCTTTTAGCTCAAAGTTCCTGTTCATCTTACCTTTGTAATTCAAGGACTACTTTTTATTAACATAAAATAAAAATGTCATATTGAAAAGTTTGACTATAGTTTAATAAATTATAAAAGCGAGTAATAATTTAGCCTATTTAAGTCTGTGCAGTCATTAGATTATATCGATGCTAGACACATGAAAAATGTGCAATGTTCTCCCCAGGACTCAAAGCCTGGATCTCTCGAGTCCGCGTCGAGTGTGCTTCCAGTTACACCACGAAGGCAGGATGCGGATATGAGGAAGAAAATATTTTATAACTCAAATTAAAACTATTTCTTTTTATCCTAATTCTTTTTACCTTTAAACTAATTTCTCATTTTTCATAAAAATTTCTTGATCCCTCGAAGTTATTCACCTGAGACATATGCCTTATTTCCTTCCTCTTTTTTCCTCTTCAAATTTCCACCATCTTTGCTTTTTCCCGGAGTGGGGGATATGAAATAATAAAATTCTTGTTTAAGTTATAATAAGTTTCGAGATAGAATGAAGTCTCTCTAAGACGGCTACAGCGGCTTAAGATTTTAAGCTTCTGCAAACGTGGTCACTGAAGATAGAATGTTTATCCATGATACATGGTACCGTTATTTAATTACGTTCTCAGAAATACTGTTTTGTTAGACTGGCTCCATTTAGGGAGGTAGTCATAGTGACAGATTCATTGAAGTGTCCTTTAAAATCAGCTGAAGTTGTTATAAGCCAGTATGAAGTCAATGGACAAGCAGAATAAAGTTAATTGCTTCAGAAAGGACATTTATCTTAAAATTGAAAATAACAGAAAAATCTGTCTTTCGTAAATCATTTTCTTTAATTGAATTAGGAATGAATCGCGTATAGATGCTTCTGGAAAGTAATTTATAATAATAATTATAATTTCCAACTTCGATTTTATGTTGTACAAACGTAATTGGAATTAAAATGATATCTGTAATTGGAAGACAGGGGTTATATGAAGAAGGAAAACGCATTAATTACAGTGGAGTCAACATTCGAAAAACAAATCTTAAGAATTACGAATGCGTATTACAAAACAAGCTAATAATGGAACAACGGAGATTGATTTAACCATATTTAAGATCGTTGATTTAGCCATATTTAAGATCGATTTTAAAAAAGATTGCATTTGGCGTATAAAATTTAGTACTTTTAGCTATCATAAATTGTAACCAAACGTTAGACAGACTGACAGCGAATTATTGCTAAGTTTAAAATAACAGCTGAAACTTTACAAGGTTGTAAAAGATTCTTTTATTAAAATTAAAGAACAGAAAAGACACATGGTGCTTACTCAGCCAGCACTAATAGCGAGCTAACTTCAAGCTCAAATTTTAAATAACTTAGTAGTCAACAATTACACAAATCAGTTTAATTCGAAGTTGGCTCACAACCTAACCAACGTAGAAATTCAGAGATCAGCAATTATAATGCAAAGCTGAAGACTGCAGATCTTACTTGAGCTAGCAGCAGCTTAATAACATAGCCTCGAGTAGCAGAACATGCTCTGCCTTACAATCTAAAAACTCCAGTTTGAATACATGCAAGCTAATTTGCATTCTGGCTTGAAAATGGACGGAAGAAGTAACAGTAAAAGTCTAAATCATCATAACCAGTTAATTAAAATTAAAAATAAAATCCTACAGACTTTATAAAAAATTAGTGATCAGTAAAAACTAAAACTCTCAGACGAGATATGAAAACGATAGTTATTATGAAGTTACTTTACGTAAACCTTTCAGGCAGTTATTACCTACCTAATGTTACTTAACACTTTAGGTAAACTATTAATGTAAGTTACTTTAGGTGGATAAATTATTTTCAGTAAACTCATTTACCGAAAATAACAATGTTTATTCCTTTTTTACAAACAAAATTAGATAAAGTACACAGTATAGCAAATAAAATGTAAGAAACAAATTTAATCAAAAAATGAAAGTATTAGAGAGAATATTTATCGAGCAAAAGACAAAGCTGAAAATTAGAGAAGACTTTAACAGAAAATAAGTATAATTGCACAAAATTATATATTACTGGAACTTCGGTCACTTATACAACTTGTCACAGTGCTAAGTTCGCTCTGTGAGTACTCTTTACATAAATGAGAGAATTTTGAATGGAAAAATGGAAAAATTATTACTGTTTTACACACACCTTAGCATCACAATATCTAAAAGACAAACAAGAAAAGAACTAGAAGGCCTAGATCACAATTGGATGGTATGGATTTAAAGAAAATTAAGCTATAGGAAGATGACAGTTATGTTGAGGACGGTCTAAATTAGTTATGGTTGTTAGAGGAGACTGACTGCTAGCTCGAAACGAAGAGCGCGAGTTCGATTTGTATATAAAGCCTTGGTTCTATTTGTGCTATCTTTCCCTCCATTTTCGCCAGTATAATATCCGACATCCCTGTGTTTTACACTGGGAAACGTGGAAAGGCTAAATGGTCGATGGACACACGAAATAAATTAGTTTTAAGTGATGAAGGCGACAATGATGAATCATTGACCGCTGTTGCATCAGGTTCTTCTATTTACAATAAAATTAATGTAAAATTCTTTACCTGCTGCATCTTCAGTGTTCGCGACGCCAGGCTTTTAATAATCACGTTTTCCAGTAAGAGTTTCTATTAGAATTAGCAGGCCATCTTGTCTTTTAATTATTTATTCAAATAAAACGCTAATATACACTATTTACAAGGTAGGTGATAATTATTTTAAGACAGTACATTTTTAATTCTCTGAGTCTCTTTACGCTCCTCAGAGCGGTTCCAATCTACTCTCGTTCTCAGAACTCAATTACAGCAAAAGTAAAGGAAGAGATGCCCGCCATCTAGTGACAAGAATGTGACATCCTCCCACCTTTTGATTTTACCTCGATAAGATGGGAAAATCAAAACAAAATTTATCAATAATCAAACAAAAATTCAAGTACAACTTTCACAAATATGAAAAGTAACTAATGCTCTAAAATTAATACTTACAAAGAAGGATTACACATCTAAACATTTTCTGCATTACATTCATACCATATCCAGATAACATGTTCCAATTGACTACTGTTAGGACAATTAAATTTCTAAAATACTGAAAAGAAACAAAAATTAGTATAGCAATTTAAAAATATGTAACAGGTTTTACAGTTTTACGTCCATATCTAGTTTGATAGTTCATATCACTGTCACACTTATCGGCAGAGTTTTTTCTGTTCATGGTGAAGTCACTAAACAAGTTAGGTCTATCAAGTTCGAGAGGATAAATACGTTTCACAGGTCTTAGGAGTTCACCCGTTGCAGTTTTCACTTTGACAACACGTACTTCGTTGTCTTTCCCAGGATATAGTTCTACAACACGACCTATTGGCCAATCTATTCTCTTCTTGTTGTCGCTGCCGACAAACACCAAGTCATTTTTGTTGATAGTCCGAGTAGATCGTTTAGATGGTTTTTGCACTAGGATAGCTAAATATTCATCACGAAATCTTTTGCGAAAATGTTCTCTTAAGTTCTGCAAGAACTTGTATCTTTTTGTCAGATTGATGGTATCCAGGTAGTCTAAGTCTGGTACTCCGACGTCGTGCACATCTTGTAGAAACATTGAAGGAGTTAGTGCCGTAAGATCATTTGGATCTTCTGAAAGGTACGTAAGGGGTCTTGAGTTGAATCACTGATTCGATATCACAAAGTATAGTCAACATTTCCTCGTAAGAGACACAGGACTTTCCGAGAACATTTCTCAACATCTTCTTCACTGTTTGTACCAACCTCTCCCACCAACCGCCCCACCATGAAGCAGTTGGGGGATTAAACTTCCACTGTATTCTCATACTAGTTGAATGACATTCTATTTCTTTCCAATCTATCGATCTTAACAGATTTTCAGTTCCAACGAAATTAGTGCCATTGTCGCTGTAAATAATACTTGGACGACCTCTTCTGGCAATAAATCTCCTTAATCCCAAGATGAACGCATTTGTTGATAAACTTTCTATCAGCTCAAGATGTATCGCGCGATAGACCGCGCAAGTAAAGAGCAAGATCCATGCCTTTTTTCCTTTTCTTAAATAAAGAGGACCGGCTACATCGACTCCGGTCACTTCAAACACCAGAGCATCTCGAACTCGATCTTCAGGAAGAGGTGCTGGAACAGTCTCTATATTCTTTGCGCTATATCTTCTACAGCGAACACACTTCATAAGAACTTTACGTAC